GCTTCCTTCCTCTATTCTTTTACAGGCTGTTACCTCACCAGTCCCTCACATACAGTGCGCAGGGATCTGGGTTTCTTGAGCTGCCTTGTGTTCCGTCTTGTTAGAACATGCGATGTCTTCTGAAATTAAGATGCTGTAATTGAACAAATATTTTAAATATAGGGAAGTTTCAATTGTCCTGTTTTACTGATGACCCTGCATTACATTGAAAAGGTACCCACAATGAAAATGAAATCGTTTTCATCAAGATGGAGTGTATTTTTTTTAAATATGCAACATACTGTAGTGTAATGTTAGTTTTAATAATATTTTATAGAGGTTTATAGAGAGTTAAATGCAGCAAATGCATCAGGAAGCAATGTACATCTACTTAAAAATTGATCCAAAATATTTAACTGCTCTAACCTTTGCCCTCCTGGAACTTATTAGGCATGGAGGACGGTTCTCTTTGGTCTGTCTGAATAAAGCTTTGGTGTTTGTAAGTAAGCAGTGTTAAAATTTAAGCTTTATTTTAGCTTCAAGAACAAAATAAAAAACAAATTCCAGCCCCGTTATCAAGATTCTTCCAAACACTGTCAAGGGGGCTGTGCTCCAGAAATTAACTTTGTTTTTCATCTCAAGTCCAGTGAATGACTATACTGGGTTCACAATCTTAGGTTTCACTGTGCTGGAATGAGTGCAGGCCACCAACATCTTTTATCATCATTAGCAGACTTCAGCTCATTAAGGAGAGTAAAAGGCTGTTGTTGGGGTTAATGATCTGGGTGCTTACAGCCTAATAAGTAGTTTCTCTTCTGTTCCCCTTTTCCAGATCAAAGATAGCTAATTAATGAATTATAAAAGCTGTTTGTGTTGTGTGAACTGACCATATATGGCTGAAAAAGTCTGTTCACTTGTTCCTGGAAAGTTTCAGGGAGGTTTTTCAAACTGTCTCTATTTTTTCACAATACCCATCCTTGGAACACATTGTACAGTAGCTTCGTAATTGTCATTGGCTGCTTGCCGTTTCCCTTGCAGTCAATGCAGTTTTTATTAATGTTCTCCTGTTTGATAAAGTCAGATTTTTGTATTCAATTGAAAGTAGTATAATGAGTGAGATTAATGAGACTGATTCTGTGAGCTGCTGTGGTTGCTGTAAATGTTACAGAGGGGAAATGCAGTGGGTTCTCTGCTACAGAAACATAACTCGAAAAGCCTCTCAAGAACGTCTCAAAGGCCACTTGGTGTGGCTGGAATGGTGCTCTGTTTGGATATTTTGTATGAGGTCTCAGAGATGTGAAGTGCTATTCAAATGTAGGGTCTGACTGTATGCTGTAAACTTCTGTGTCAGACTGCTGCAAAAATTTAGATAAACTCATTAGAGAAACACACATCTCAGAGCTAAATAACTCCTGGAGACTCTAAAACTAATATTTTGAAGGTAAAAAATCAGGCTTTATTGCCTGTTTTGCTTATGCTGGTTATTAAGCATTAATCATCTCAATTGCATTTGTATTATTGCAGTGCTTGTCTTTGTCTTGCTTCATATCTACGTATATATTTGTCTGAACGGAAAAAAGTGTTGCTTCTGGAAAACATGTTTCGCATGGATGAAGAGGAAGAGAAATCCAGAGAGGCATTCGTCAGCGTCACACAGAATTAGGCTCACACCCTTCAGTGATGGGCTTCAGAGCACAGTCCAGTGTTGACTGCTTCCTCAGAAGATTTTCTCTTTGTTTGCTTCCAGATGTGTTCCTAAAAATAATGATCAACAAAGCAGACGCAGGGCACATATAAAAGTGCATACAGGACTACGGGAAACAGTCTCAAGGAAGATGGGAAATGTAGCATGGGAATTTTCTCTCACGCAGTGATGTTTTGATTACCCTTATTACTGCTGAAATTCAGGAAGGGATTTGTGGACATGCCTGTAGATGGTCATAATAAGCCGCACAGTAAGGAGTGTGTCCCAAGGAATTTGTTCTTTTCTAGTTGTATATCCTTAGTGCCACAAAATCCTTTGGGAACTTTTTGCTATTCATGAGGGAAATTGGAAGCGTCCCTAGACGTAAATTCCATTATCCAACTTCTTTCTCAATTGCTTAAACTTTGTCTTTGACGAGACTCACTTGTTTTCCTCTCCTCTGTGGGCAGTTCACTGTCCACCAATGGCATGCCCAGAATCCTGAACTCGACAATAAAATATATCAAGAGCGAAAAAAAAACATTTATTTAACGTAGTATATGCCAGGCATATTTTGGCTGAAAGATTCAGTAATATCTTGAGTAAATTACTGCAGGAAATATTTGAACATTTCACTGCTTTTTATTCAGTGTTTGGGTTGCTGTTTGAGAGCTGTGTTCTATTTGGCATAACAGTTTCTCACTTTTGACATTATTATTATTTCTGCACAGAAAAGGACCCTAATAAAATTGCTTACTTTTAACTGTTTAATTTCCAGAACAACGAGGCTTAACAATTTAAAAATATACCACTCACCTTTTAAACTTAAGAATATGGTTCATTGCATTAAATGCTTGCAAATGAAATATTTACAGAGGGAAAAGAAAGTCCCTTTCTGATGCATGCACTCTGGTTGGGATTTGAGTCAGTATCAAACCAATAGCAGGAAAATCCTCTCTGAAGAACAAAGCAGACCAAGGATCAAAGCTGCAGGTGGTAACATTATTTCACTAGCTGATCCACCTGTTTATCAACTATTCTATATGTACTGGAGGCAAGGTGTTGTCACTCTAACCATTACCTTTACTCCTTTGAACTGGTTTATTTTGAGTATTCAGTGGCCTAGTTCCCTGGTGCTGGACTGTAGCAATGAGAGATTTCAGTTGAAATCATCTGGACTTGCTAGTTGTCCTTCCTGAGACACGTATGCTATACAGTGAGTAGAAACATGGTGGAGTGGTTAGGGCTCTAGACTATAAAAAGGAATCTTATGGGTGTGAAACCTACAGTATGTACAGTAAGAGTCTGCTGTTACCCTTGAGCATTTACTGGAGCAGTATGTACGTCATGTTGCAAACATTATGGAAGGAAATTTCACATGATAAGAGCACAGACATTAAAGTTGTCACTGTCCAAGAGATCCTGAGGAACATTCTTGAAAGGTATACCATTTGCAGTGAAGGAGATCGAGGAGGAAAAGCACCACTCTTCAAAAGTCAGTTGAAGCTTCTGAGCTTTAATTTTCAACATGATGAGAGAGACAGTCTAGCAGAGAGCCTGAGACTGAGCTTGCTTTAAGGCCCAGTTTTAATGATTGGTTAAATGAGATGCATATTGGTGTTTGGAAGCGTTTTGCTGAGAAGATATGAAACAATTTGATATCTTTGCACAGCACATGTCCATATACACAAACACTCACACTTGTACTGCTTTACACACAGACACAGACCATTTCAGCCAGACCATGCAGCAGCTCTCACAGCTCAGATGTTTCTGGGTTATTTAATCAAACATTGCCTCTGTACGTCTTGGGAGCTCGATTCATACCATTCCATTAAAACATTGCTTCTGAAAACAAGCGCAACCAATTAGGAACAGCAATTTGAGTTGACAAGAAGTGATAACTTTGACTACTTTCTCTGAAAGACCTTGTTTTTCTTCTGGAGAGGATGAGTAGTCACTATCAAAGTCACAGAGTATTTATTTTAAGGAGGGAATGGTCTATCACCAACTCGAAGACACAAGTGGAAATTAAACGTAGGTTTATTAAGGACAGAAAACGGCTATTTGTTTATAAAAAATCATACAGTAGTTCTATAATTAATAACTATACAGCTACTGTACCTTGTTAGCAAACTGACAGCCTAGGTTTGATGTAATTCTTCAATTAAGATGCTACTAGCACTGAATAATTGGCCAGCTGGGTTATCTAGGTTTCACTGTTTGCCTAGTTTTTTTTTTTATTCAACAGGAATTAGCTGCTCGCTCCATACACAGAAAGATTCTTCTTGTTCTGTTGAGCTGGTGTTACAGGTGATGAGTAAGTGGATGTGACAAATAATTTAACTTCTTGGTTATTATGTAGAATTTAACATTTTGAAGATAAATGGCTTGACTAAGCACTGCTGGCCCTTGATAATGTTTCTGCTTTGCCCTAATTCCTTTTAAGAGCTCATTTTTGAAGCCCAAAAATTACCTTGAGAAAACATCCATTTCCCAACTTTTCACTGTTTTCTTTAAAGCAACTCCAGCTGCCGGTTTGCAGTTTGGTAGAGGAAGGTAGTTTATTTTCTTATCAAGCCTTTCAATTCATTAAGCTTTTGTAATCTTAATTGTCTGGTTTGTTTCAGTCCTAAAACTACAGCTGGCTCCCTATTTACAATTATCAGGAGAGCCTTTGTTGTGCGTTGTTTCATAAGTATAAGAGATTACTAATTAACGTTAACATGTTCTGAATGTTTTCCATATGGAGAAGTCTTGGCTTGTCAGAGTAGGGCTATAAGATTTCAGCAGTTGATGAGTTGGATGTATGTGCAAAAAAAATCTGTTCGGAATTAAGTATTAAATAAGAGGTAGAAAACACAGGAGGTTGCAAATGCCAGCATTTTGAAACATCGATCTTCTTGCATTGAGCACTCTCAGAAGCAGCCCTTGTTGCCTCTGTCTCTGTAAACATTCACACTTCATGTTTATCACAACTGTATCATAGCATTTGGCCTTTTGAGTGAGAAGGGTGAGGTTAAGAACATACTAAATGTGGGGTGTCATATAGTACCACTGCATTTTTCTATTTGTGATCAAAGCACAAAAGTACCTTGATGATTGTGAGAAACGATGGTTACCAGTTTTGTGATAATTGTACCCATGATGAAAAACCACAACAGTTTCTATTTGGATCAGCTAGGTTATCATTGTAAGTGATAACAAGCAAACAGTTCGATCAGAAGTTTCAGTTAGCCAATCAAGAGGTTATTTAGATAGTCACATGGGGTTCCCAAGAGCAGGCCTGAGAAAGCCAGCTCTAACAGATAGCTGTTTCTTCCTCTCACCTCCACAGAGGACAGAGGCTCTGATCGTACCCGCTGGGAGGCCCCTGTGTTCACTCAGCCCCTGAAAGACTGCTCTGTGGATGAGGGCTGTGACATCAGGCTTAGAGGTGTTATCACAGGAAGTCAGCCCCTGTGTATATCCTGGCTGCACAATGGTTAGTATGCTTTTTACTGTGATGATGGCTCTGATTTGCAGTGTGGGACGTCATGCACCATTCATTCGGAAACTGACCTGCACTTGCCATATGAAAATGAAAGAAATGGCCGAAAAAGCCACAACACAAGTTTTCTTTTGATGTCCACTGACCTTCCGTGCGTCATTTTGTGTTTTTGTTCTTTGTTTATCCATCCATTTTCTTCTTCCAATTCAGGGTTGCAGAGGAGCATCGGGTGTAAGGCAGGGTACATCCAGGTCAAAACACCAGTCTGCCGCTGGGCACACAAAGACGCAGAATTCAGATCTGTACTTTTTCACCTTAAGGAACCTTGGCTGCATACTCCCCTGCATTTAATACAGTCGAACATTAATTTAATTGAAGTTATGACTGCACAACTTTTCTATGTGTCTTTTTAATACTTTTTTATTTAAAAAAATAATTTATCATGAGATTGGCTGAAAAATCAAAAACATTTGTTTTGTGTGTGTCTGTCTGTTGTGGGTATTCTCACAAAGATCCAGACACTGCTAAGTGTATTTTATCAATACAGCAAAAACCAAAATGATATGAAGTCTTATGTATCTGTAACCATTTGTGACTTTGTGTTGCTTTCACCTTTTTAAGTAAATTGCCTACAGTATGTTTCATCTCACAGCATCAGTAAAACCTGCCTAACTGATTTGCCTTTGGCCAGATGATCTTTTTTAAAGTTCAGTGTTTAATTCTGTGTTGAAGGATTGCAGTATGTAACTGCAAAGGAAGTATCTCACATCTGACTTCAACGTGGGGTTTACTTCCAACATGTTAGCTTCTTTAGATCCAGTCCTGGTCAGGAAGGGCTTTGGGTTTCCATTCCAGTGCAGCTCCTAATGAGATAACCCAGCTTGTTACTGGCTACACTGAACAGCAACAGCTTCTCCAGGCTGCTTAAAAGAGATCTTGAAAAGGTCTGCAGACATATTGGCTCTCCAGGACCAGCGCCTGACACCCCTGTACACAGTACTACAAGATTTATACTGGATGAGGATTCTGTGTGTGAGCTCTTCCAAATAGTCATTTGTTGTTTAGATGTTTAGAAGAAAAAAAAGACTGAAACACTCTCAACTGCACTGTCCTCCAGCCGTCTCAGGTTGGGGTCCCAAGCTTGGATTTTTCCTGGTTCTGCATCCCCCCCTCCCATCCCCACTTGATCCCGTCCCACTTCAGAGCACTAACGCTGTCTGTGTGGCCTCCTCCTTCCAGGCGAGGCTGTGCGTTTCGGGCATGCCTCTTTCCAGGGCGGAGTGGCACAACTGGAAGTGCATGACTGTCTGCCCGAGGACGCTGGCGCCTACACCTGCGTGGCAGAGAACAAAAAGGGCAAGACCTCCAGCAGCGCAGCCGTCTGTGTCAGAGGTACTGGGCAGCTGGCATGGGGGTCGTCTGCAACTGCAGATCCTGCAACTCCAGTTGAGCTGGAGTTGCAGGCTCGTTCTTTAAAGTTGAGCTCGTTCTTTAAACGGAGCATCTACACCACTAGTGAGGAGCAATCAATGGCCAGTAGTCATATTAACTGAGAATATACAACTTATTAAATTCAACTTGTTTCAGGTACAGGGGATTCATGCTTACATATGCAACTACACACATTTTTGGAAAATGTTTGGAAAGAGCTGAAGTGTTCCAGTATACCAAGCCGAAATTCAGTTAAAGCAATTTGCAAAACAGCCCCTCAAAACTGGCGTTTGTCCTCCACGTGAACTGCAGCAGTTGCTACAAACATTCACCACATAATCGAGACAGTTGCCTTTCAAAACTCATGTGTTGACTGTGTCTGTGCACGTGTGTGCAGTTACTGTATCTGCACGTAGTTTTCACACTGATTATGTTGTGATCTGTCCATGGAAAAAATCTTTGGTCTGTCACTTGTAGATGAGGCATGGTTGGGGTCTTCTTCTTCTTCTTCTTTAAAGTTTGCAGAATCTTACATTAGTTGAATCGCCGTGACATTTAGGAACCACTGCATTGAAGAGGTTTTCATATCCTGCAGTGACCACACTGGTTCTGTGTTGTTGTTTCTGCTAGGTTAGGTGCTATTCTGCTGTTTCCCTTTGAGGGGGTGTGATTTGGCATGGTAACTAGTCCATCCAGTGAATTTTGATGAAAGCTTCACTCTGAAACTTTATTTGCCAAGAAACAATTGCTTACTGTTTGTACACATAACCAAAATATTCTTATTCTGCTTATGACATTTGGCTTGACAAGTGTATTTTTTATTATGAGCATGTTATGAGCATGCTGTCGTTGCATAAATACAAGCCTGTAGTATTGTATGTATTAGGTTTATGGTAATTTTTTTTACATCTGTATTTAGAACTTTATTTTACAATATATCAGTTTACAGTCAAGTGTATGTGCAGAACATTCCATTTTGTATAATAAAAGTATTAGTGGGTGCACATTATCTTGGATAAAGAAATCCAACAAGTGTGTCAAAACAATAAAAACAATAGTAACATTAAGCAAGATAGGATGTGGATTCCATTTTAGAAAACATTGAATTAGTTGAGAGAACAGAAAATGACCTTATTGGCAAACTAAATCAAAAAAAGATAATAATCATTACTGAAATATTTCTGGTCTGTTAAATCAACAGAGCATGCAGGATTCGACAGAAACCCCTCAAAGATGTTTTAAAAGCACACATCTTATATCCCAAGCAAAATTCTCTTTTTACAGACAGCAGGAGAGATTATCAAGGTCATAACAGATTATTTTTAATCTGTTTGTGCCATTTTTAAAATGAAAAAAAAAAAATCCAGTACCTTTTACAGTCACCATTATATGCAGGTAGCTAAGTGCTTTTTAAAAAAAATGATATCAGATATCAGTACCACAGAAATGGAACCTGTCAACTCTTGTCTGCTCCGCACAGATTTCGAAACCATCTGCAGGAACAGCAGCCCAAAGAAATGCCTTCCTGTCCAGAACAGCATCCCCAAGAAGGAAACAGCTGTGCCCCCCATGGCTGAAGAAAGCAATGGGATCCACAGGCATGGAAAGCCCTTCTGCACAGAGAGCTGGGGATCAAGGCAGGGGACAGGTACATGATGTCTAATGACAGACACTGTGTCAGCTTTGCCATGGGGACATATGGCTGCAGGAATGTCAGTAACTCTTGTCATTAATGTCATAATGCCATCATTTACCCAACTATCTTCACTGGAGAGGTGCAGTGCTGCAGGCTTTATGTGAGTTCATAGACCACAAACAGTGGAAACTAAAGTCAATTAAGTCTTAAAAAGATCAGGTGGGAAGCAAACCAGAAAGGTCTGGTGGACCAGTTTTCTAAACGTAATACTTTTACAGTGAAATTTAAAATCAATGCAACACACTATCTCTAGTTGTATAGAGTTGTTAAGCCTAATTCCAGGACACATTTAGAATAAATAGGTTTTTGCAGGTATCTGGAGACTTAATGAAACATACAGTATAGGAATGGACATTTATACCTAGTCATCTTTGATTAAATTAAAAAAGTGAAGATTTTCAAATGTGTAATAATAATACATTATATTAATCAATCAACCCCCAAGCACATTAAAGAACATTACATTAGATGATTTCAAGAGACTTTGAAAAGTACATTTTTAGACTAGACATACTGTAGAAGTGCCCAATGTGGGTGAATCTCTGATTTCTTTTGGGATGGTCTCTCAAAGTCCTGTTCACAGCAATAAAGGCCCTGCTGCTCACAGCATTTAGACCAGCATTTAATCCCCAGTCCTGATACAGTAGGGCCAGTGTATCTGCACATTTTCCAGGTGTGTTTAAAGCTAAAAAAAAAACGACTGATAAAATTAATAATGCAAAACATTATCTGATTTAGCTCATTAGGATTCCACTTTGAGTCCACTTTTCACACACTGGTCTTGATTCAGACAAATTTCTTGCAGGTTTTCTAGGTCTCTTTAAAGTACCAACACCTGAAAAACTGCCAAAATTGGTTGACTTCTATGCTGATTTAAGTCATTAACAACAAAAACCTGCAGACACAAAGGCCTGCAGCCATCCATGATCAGGATTGGACACCTGTAATTTAGCCAGAAAGGTGATAAATCTGTCCTGCCTGAACGTGTTTAGTTTAGGGTCTCAAAATTCCAGTCTTCTGTGTCTGGAATCCAAAAGGTTTTCAATATCTCCTGAAGCTATTAATACTGGGTCACCTGATAGAGGGCTGGAGTTGGGATCCTCTGGTGTAGGTGACCTGGGACTAGTTGGTAAATGTCTGAGCCTTAGAACTGGGATGTCAGTTCCTTAATTAATGAGCTAATTAGGATCCCCATTCTTGATATTTCTCATACTGAAACAATCTTCCATTATTTAAAAAAGGTCCCTGTAGCACCAACAAAACACATGATTACTCCTAGACCTCTCCTCAAATCAGGGGAGAAAAGGGACTGGAGAATGAGAAAATTCCAAATTACTTTCAAACTGCAAAATAGTGTCCTTGTATTCAGACAGTTTGAGTACTAGGAAATAACTGTAACTGTCTGTTACAGAAACCAAAGCCCAACCCTCATCTCTGTGTAAAGGTTGCAGCTGTGAAAATCAAACCCTTGAACAAACGAGAGGCCGTCTGACTTCAGCCACTTAACAAGCAACCTTAACCTTGATTCTGAAGGCCCGCCCCTTTCTGCTCTCAGCAGTCTGTTTGCTGTTGTCTTTGTAGGTCCAGTCACACCGAAAAGAAAAGCCTTCTCAGGAACAGGTAACTGGCACTGGGGGTTAGACGGTAATGTCATTTGGTTTACCATTAAAGATTCTGTCTGTGTCTGTTGCTTTTTATCTTTTACACCTCAGCGAGACTTTGTGTTGCCAAATTGAGAGGTAGCGGGAATGTCAGTCTCTTTGGACAGGTGTGCATTGTTAAAAAGAGATTGTTGGCTGGCTTGTTTTCTTCTTGATGTTACTGTTCCTGAATTGAATCAATTTACTTGAGCTTTGTTATTTCTGTTTTCAGCTTTGAGACTATTGTGTACTTTTAAAAATGTATCTCTAAAGGCTCTAATGTCTCTGAAAACAGTTGACATTGAACAAATTAAGAAATAAATAATATGAATTTTAAAGACAATGGGATCCCACCACCACAACTGTAAAGCCCCAGTACGATTCAAAAGTTCATTTCTCTGCTTTGTTTGCAATATATACAGTATACTATAGATTTGGTTCCCATTTTAATCATTGTTTCATTGCTACTAAATGTTTACGAGTACCTTAATTAGCATTTTTGTTCTAAAGGTCTCACCAGTTAAATGACCTTTACAGAAAATGACCTGTTTGTGAATGGATTTAAACTTGATAATTTCTTCTAGCATGTACTGACAGTGATTTGTGTATATGCAGTTTCACTTTTGGTTTTAATGAACGAGGTTGAGTGGAATATTTGCTACCAAAACCAATTTCACATCAATTTTCAGTTAAACCACAAGGCTGAGCATAGATTTAGCTGCAAAGTTTACCATTTCCCTACCATGGCAATTGATTTTCTATGACATTTTCAGTAACAAATTGGCATGTAGATTACAAAACAATTGTATATAATATTTTCTATCAATAACAGGTGATGAACATGATTATCTGTTTTATAAATAGCAGGTATGCATCTCATTTAAATTGATGAAGAAGACAGTAAAGGTTTGATTAATTCTGAAAACTATAAGGAAGTTTTACTTTTGCTAGTGTAAATAAAAACTTGATTCGTACTGTAGAAATATCACCAAGTGAAACTGTAATAATAGATAGTGGCTGCAGCAGATAGATCTGCAGTGCTGTGTGGTAAAAGTGGTTTATGGCAACTTTAAGGTGAAATGTGGTAACTGCAAACTGGGAATATTTTGGAGGAACCATCAACTGAATTCCAGCACAGTAAAAGGTCAGAAAGGCCATGCACAAAGCATGCCTCACAGTCTATTGAACTCAGAGATCAAATGTTTTTCTTATTCAGCCAATGGATTTCTGAAAATGAGTATTGATCTTGTATTGAATTCTGTTGCATTTTGTAACTTTAGATTTTGCATGAAACTGTGTTTTAATCAGCTAGGAAAGAGTCTCGGAGGGCGTCATCTCCTGTTAGTAAGCCTTATGAGTGTAAGTGTGGCTCTGCCCTCCAGTCACTGGCCTTCAGCTTTGCAGGCAGGTGTTGCTGAAACTCGGCCCACCCCTGTTCTCCCTGTCAGCGCTGCCCGTGCAGATCGTGGACTGTCCAGAGCGGGTGGAAGTCCAGGTGGGAGAGCGAGCCGAGCTCCAGTGCGCGTACCGCTGCAGCCCCCCCGTCGCTGCCTGCTGGATTCACAACAAGCAACAGGTAGCGAGCATTACCGCCGACCTCTGGACGGGCTCGGAGGGGCGAGGCAACAGTTATGACTGGGCTTTGTCATACTCTTTAACCACAGGTCTCAGTCGATGTGAGGTTAAACCACACATGAGAAAACAGCTGGCTGTCATCTTCTGCGTTGAGGGTAGATTATGGAAGAGGCTGTAAGATTGTACTCTTGAGAAGAGAAACATGGGTTAGCTCTTGGTTCTGCATTGTTTATGCAACCTCTTCTTCGGTAATCTTTACACTGTGTCCTTTAAATTCTGGAACTGATAAAGTGATTTACTAATTATACTTATTCAAAAAGCATACAGGGTGCATACATTACCGATTTACCCACACTTTCTCTCTATTGGTTTAGTTATTACTACTTAATATGGTTGTTCCTGGAAGCTAAGCTGTACTTCCAGCTTTGTGTATAGCACTTTTGTCATTTTATGAAATTCATATTTGCATGATTGTTTTCCTGGTACTTATACGCACTGTAAACCTTGCATGTACTGGAAACTGTAAAGGGTGAAGGCATCTGCTAAGCAGATTCATCGTTTTGTGGTGCTCTGTTCTGTCCCCGTCTCAGGTGGCTGAGGGACCTCGGACCCGTGTGGAAACCAGCAATAAGAGCAGCAGGCTGGTGATATCGGAGGCTTGCCCAGAAGACGCGGGCAGCTACACCGTGCTGGTGCGTGACTGCCGAGGCTCCGCCCATCACAGCCTCGCCCTCACCGTCATCGGTAAGAGGCAAGGGCCTGAACCTCCGGGGCAGGAGTGCTGGGAACTCTGATCCTCTAGAGCCGCACACGGCCTCCTGCAGATCACACTGACCTAGTCCCTTGATCTGGCGCTTCCTGTATCTCTGGAAGACGTGTTTTAAAGGACATAAAACATTTATACTTTTAGAATCCATAATTGAAGTAAAACAAAACAGGAGACTGAGGAGTCTTTGACTAAGTGTAGCCTGGTCAATTCTTCTGACTAAGTAGTCTCTCTTCTCTTCTCTTGACTTCACACCACCTGAGCCTGAGTGTTGATACTGCTTCTCTCCTCCTCCCGCCTCCTCTCCACTCATTGCTTTTGTTCTTTATCTACTGCCGGTTTTCCTCTCTCCCCACACCTGAAGAAGGCTCCACAGTTGAAACGTTGTACCTTTTCTTCTCTTTTCGCCATGGAATAAAGCTTTACTTGTTCCCTTGCAGCCTACAGTATGCATGCTGACGCAGCTGCCTGCTTGAACTAAGTGTGGCATATGCAGCTAGAGAGGAACTGACCCTCTGTCACCTCACATAACCCAAATCACACAGCCCAGATGAGCATCAGACCCACATCCCACATTCATGACTGTACTGTTTCCACTGGGGATCTATTGGCTCTGTCACTGGTTCTGTTCCAGATCGACCCCAGCCCCCGGCGGGCAGGCCTTTCATCTCCCAGCTCTGCCTGACCTCCCTGGTCCTCTCCTGGTCGGGGCCCTGCTACGACGGGGGCAGTGCAGTCACGGGCTACGTGGTGGAGGTGAAGCAGGTGGGCCCTGGGAAGTGTGGGGGCTGGACTGAGGTGACGGACCGCTGCAAGAGCACCTCCTACAGGGTGCGGTCGGGACTGCAGACTCTGCAGGAGTATCGCTTCCGGGTGAGGGCCATCAACGCGGTGGGAATCAGCCAGCCTTCCCAGGAGTCCGACACGGTGAAAATGGACAGCGAGGAAGGTAGCTGATGTCATAGCGGGCCTGGGATTGAGTGATTAGCCCTATTTTTCTGAGTGTGATGGAGTCAAGCATCCATATGTCGGTGGATGTGTTGTATGTCGGTGGATTTAGATGTTTGTGTCCCAGTAAGGTCTGGGTTGAATCTCTGTGGGATGTGTCTCTTATGTTTACAGTATGAGTATGGTGGGTGCCTCGAAGAGGGAGTAAGACCACTTAAAAAATGTTATGAATTTGGTTCCTCTTTTCAGTTTGGTTTCAGTAAGCTTGTTCTCCTTAACATTGATGCTGCGAAAGATTTATATTAACAGAATCGGGTTCATTTTCAAATCCATTTAATCTAAGATGCCTCCAAATAGTCAAGCACAAGATTAATTAAAAAGTTTGCCCTTTCAAGGCAAGGTATGAAAACATATTGGTGGTTTAGTTAATGTCTGCAGAAACTGTTCAGAAGAGAAAACTGACAATCCTGCAGACTATTAACAGTGACCTCATTGTCTCAGTTTTAGGGGAGCTGCAAGAGGAGGAGGACCCCCAGTCCTACGTACATGTCACTATCAACGCCATCCAGAATGTCACAGACCAGTACAACAAGCTGGAGAAGCTGGGAGTGTGAGTGTCACCTTGCACTGAACTTGCCTGTTTCTTTACAAGGCCTGGAGAAGCTAAGCCATTAATGAAAATGTTTTAGGCTCAATTGGTTAACTCTCCAGGGTTATAAACATAAGATACCTGAATGTTTCTATTTCTTAACTTGGTATGTTCCTATGTTTATCTGAGTTGTGAAGCAAACCGTTTTTAAAGTGCAAAGAGAACTGAGGGCTCTATAACTGTTAGAACTCTTTATGGCAACAAATGAAACCTAGAGTGTATTGTAAAAAGAGAAACTGCATGTGTTTTTTAAACTAGCCCTTTGACATTTTCCTTTATAAAGCAGATTTATTTCTGGACTAGCTGGATAGCCCTAAAATGTGCAGTATAATGTTTAAAAGTAAAGGATTTCATAAATGAAAACTGGCATGTGCATGCAGAAGATAATCCTGATTAAGAGTCAAATTAAAGAGGTTCTTTAAGCCAAGCTGCAAAAGCAGTTACACATCAAAATAATGGACACAGAGGCAAGATATTCCTCAGCCGTATATAGAAAAGTCACCTGTAGTCCACAGTCTAGGTTTACAGTATTTCAGCTCAGCGTAAATATAATAAATAACCCTTAAAATTGTATATAACGTTTTCCTGGATACTCCACTTGAACCGCTTTGCAGCTAGTGGGGACTCCCCTTCACCACCACCAATGTGCAGCCCCACCTGGATGATATAATGGTAGCCATAGTTTGCCAGTTCGCTCCCCACAAATCAGCTATCACTGGGGAGGATATTAGCGTGATGAAGCCATAATAATTGGGGATTATTAAGAGGCCATGATTTGTAAAGTTCAGAGTGAACTTTGGCCAGGACACCATTTTAAGACCCCTACTCTTTTTGAGAAACACCCTGGGATTTTTAATGACTACAGAGAGCCAAGGTGTTACTTTTATGTCTCGACTGAAGGATTATGAAGGGACATTAAGACCCACACAGAAAGCAGGGTGAGCTCCCCCTTGCTGGTCCCACTAACACCTCTTCCAGTACCAAACTTAGTTTTCCCTTCCAGGTACTTGCCAGACTCACCTGCTGAGCTTCAGTGGGCTGCCAGTTGTAAGCTGCAGGGTGATACAGCTGCTGGCAAATGCTCTGTAGTCCAAGGGCTTGAACCTGGTCTCTCACTAACTGCTGACCAGCAACCTACAATATGAGCCTCAGCGCCACCGAAAAATAAAATAGTACAAAGCAGTAGTAAAAAATTAAAAATAGCGTGACATCGATCATGAACCTGAATGTAAGAGAGGAAATTTGTAAGCATTCCATATTAAAACCAGGAACATAAAGTTAACTAAATCTGGTGTAATGTAACTGAAATGGGAGATGTAGATTTGGCAACCCATCTAAAAACAGGCTGTTATTTTTATAAATAATACCAAGTTGAAATGCCCAATTTTATTGTTGCAGCCCAAAGGACAAAGCAATTATAGATTCTGAAAGAGATTAAAGCATGGGTTTATTTCTCAACATCTGGCAGCAATTTTATGCTGTTGACAGCGTGACGTCTAGCCGGTGTTGGGTTGATTACAGGCTGTGGCCTGCTGATCTTGTTGATGCTGTGGGGATGTGGTGTAATGCATAAACTCAGTCAAGTTTTCCACTGGTCTAATAGAACTGGTTTAGCTAGAATGTCTTTTCTGCACCTGCTGGAACATGGTGGAGTCAACAGTGATGACGAGCGGCGTTTCCGATATAGTTCAGTAATTTGGATAATTTACTATTTATTGGCTTATTAAGATTGACTTTTATGTGGAGACTTTGGACTGGGATGCTGATATGGTGAAATTTAGATTTTATGTAAAAGGCATTAGTCTTTAATAAGACTTTCACAATGAGAGGTTTCTGATTAGTGGGAGAGTGTTATCTCTATAAAAGCTGTTATATTTCCCCACCAGCCTTCATTTAGCAGCTCCTCTACATTGCCCTGCAATTCCCGTTGACAACCATATAAAAGAAAGTCACATGATCCCTATTATTTTTATATGATACAACCACACATATGGGCCCTGCTGCTCTATGAAGTGAGTATGTAAATGTCGCAGCAGTTTGTCACTTGCACTTGAGTCAAACGTCTACTGGTTACAGACTTTCCACCCTGACCTTTAGTGAGTGGGAGGACTTGACAGACAAGGAAAACGCAAATATCTCCTCTTCACGCTCCAGCAGAGTAACAGTGGGGGTTTTGCTGCAAAGGAATGTTCTCGTTTCACTATAAATATGGTATTTTAAACTCAAGGAAGAAGTCATTTTTTGTACCTGTTCTGTTACTGTTTTTCTTGTTTCACAACAAAATGCTAATTTATGCTGGATATCATATTTGTGCATCAGGATAAGTGAACAAGGCATACAGTAAATCTCTAGAACACTTGAGGGACCTTCATTAGGTATAGTGCAAGTATAAAGTGCAAGTAATTTACAATTTATTTAAACTGCAAGGCAAACACGCACTATTGTCAGTAAATTAGAAGCTTCTGACATGCTTAGCTCACTTAGTTGGTAGCTCCATATTATCTCCATCTGACATAGTGGCACATAGTTTGTAAAACTAGGCCAAACCGTCTGTTTGAGATGTATTAAAGGAAGCAAATCCTTTGACTATCAAATACTGATACTGGTGGGGGGGGGGGAGACCAGGAACTGAGTTGTAAAAGTACTGTAGGAGGAGGTGAGTTACTGACTGTGTCTTTTGCAGGGGAAAATTTGGCCAGGTGTTCAAGATGATGCACAAGGAGACAAACCAAGTGTGTGCTGCAAAGTTCTACAAGGCACGCACCTCCAAGGAGAAAGCAGCCGCCCGGAGGGAGATCGAGTTGATGAACTGTCTCCACCACCCCAAGCTGGTCCGGTGCCTGGCTGCCTTCGAGAGCCGCAGCGAAATCGTCATGGTGATGGAGTAGTGAGTACCGAGGGTGAACAGTGTGGGTGGGAGGTATGCTTGCTCTTGACAGCCAAGTGAATGGATTGAGTGTTCATTTTGGTGTAACGATCCTCTTTGAAACTTTAAATGTCCGCCATACGGAAAACCTGTGTCAATGCTGGATCTGTATAAATGTTTTATGCTAGATTATGACTGCTAAATTCCCTGACATTCCTTGTCCTCTTCAGCAGTGACTGTTACAAAAGGGCCCCAGTGTATTTCTTTTTGGCTTTTATTACATTTTAATCTTGAATTACTTCAACCTTTTTGTTAAATTAGTCATGAGAACTACCAATTCTTGAATATCTACAAAAATAGATTACATTTATCTTGGAGTCTCATAATTTTCCATTATTCGGTCTGGGTGGTGTCTGATGAGCAGTCTCATGTAATGTTGGAGGCTGCCAGTGTCTCTGGAACAGGCTCTGGTTCTGACCATGAGTGGTCGTGATGCCTGTCTCTGCAGCATTGCTGGAGGGGAGCTCTTCGAGCACATCGTGGATGATAACTTTGAGCACACTGAGCCCACCAGTGTGCGCTACATGAAGCAGATCCTGGAGGGGATCCAGTACATGCACCGGCAGAACATCGTGCACCTGGACCTCAAGCCAGAGAACATTGTGTGCGTCAACATCACCGGCACCCTCGTCAAGATCATCGACTTCGGTCTTGCTGACAAGCTGGGTAAGTGGTGGCACAGCCCTGGGATTGTTGGAAGATAGGGCCACAGCTATCTTCAGGAGATGATCTAAGACCAAGCTCTTCATTGCTGAGCTCTCCGATTTCAAACAATGTCCAATGCAAAATGCGGCCAGCAGAGTTTATTATTTCTTAATCTGTTTGTTCAGTCACTCCATTGGCTACCTTTTGACCTTAGAATTCCACTGAGAGTAAGCTTGGTCTGATTAGGTAAAAAGGCAGCTGCATATGATAATGTTGAAATCAAACAGATCCACTCTATTAGTTTGTGCTTAAACATAATGATGAACCTCATACATAACACTCTTATAAGGGAGAGGTCTGGTAGAGAGCATTCTAATGCAGATTTTGTGTTCATCACAGAGTATCTTAGTTTACAATAACCCGCCATAACATGGGTAGTTTCAGCAATGTTGCGTCAAGATATTATTCACGTTCGATTATGTAAATTAGTTGCAAAACCCTTTAAAGATTTAACAGGATTAGGATCCCTGCAGGCAATAACAGGCCCAAATCCTGTTAATTCCGTGGCTTTCAACCAAAGAAAGGGAAAGGCTGTTTGGTTTCGATGTTAAAAATATAGAGTGAACTGTCAAGATTTAAACAAGACTCATTTAAGTGAGGCCTTCAGAGGAGAGGGCAGGAGGGATGCCACCCAAGAATCCACTTGACAAAGTTCTGGACTGTTTTGTTAATTTACAGTTCTGTTGCAGTCATGTTTAGGCAGTAAGTCAACAATAAATCAATTCAGAGAATGCAAAGCTACAGTATGTTCTCTCCCTTACACTAATTTGAAACAATCTGAGATGTAATGCTTACTATGCGTTGCAATGTTTGGGTTTTGCAAAAGTTGTTTTTCACAGTTTTTGATTCAGGTTAGTTAGGACTACACTTTGATTATGTAAAGAGACCACTACTTGCACAGTTCCGAATGACCTCTGTTCTCTAAACTAACAAATGTGAGTACTGATAGAAATTTGGCACCTGTCATTAAGCCAGTTCATTTAGTGTCATGTGAACTCCCTCATCAGTGTAGTCCTAAAATCCACCCTGTAAGTTCTTAAAGTCCAAACCCGTTGCTGAACTGTTCCAGTCGGTCTTCATATGTACACCATGGGAATTCAATACTCATTGCCCTTAAGCATCAAACAGAATGCTTCAGGTTGGTTTATTAGCTCCTTCAACTGCTCTGTCATTCGAGCTGTAGCTGAAATATGTGACCATCTCATTTCCCACAGCCCATATTGTGAATTGTCGCACGACTTTGGAAGAACCTGGGTAGACTCATCCGCATGAATCCCTCATGCTTCTGGTTTACTGTAATGTACAGTAAATTCCTACGAAAGGCCCCACTTCAAAGCCTCTTAATCTGGACATTCTTTCAGTTCCCAGTTTCATGGGCTTTTCGGTTGGTCACTTGGCTTTTTCTTGACAGGGTCACGCCTTGTTGCAAGATCCAAGGAGGATCTCGATATTTGGCTTAATCCACCATTTAGAATTTCTTGACCCTGCGCAAAGTGTCTGTGGAGAGCAGGATATTCACACGCTGTCCTGACAGCTCTTTGGCAATCCGACATCCTGAAACAACACGACCAACTTTAAGCAACTTGGCAGTGTTTTATGATAATCATGCTAGTTTCTTAGAGTTCGATTGTAAATAACGTACAATTTACTAAAAAAAAAGCTACTGACTGAAGCCTGTAACTAAATTTGAAGCATCTGACATGCTTAGCTCATTTATATGGCAAAGACAGTGCTGTTTGATAACTATTTCTTGCCAACAGATTACAGAATCCTTTTTTTTTTTTTCCAAAACTCCTCTTCTGTAGTTCAAGCAAACAACTTTGTTGTGCAACAGTCATGCTGTTTCTGATTCCGTCTTTGTGAGTTTTTAAGAATTCTGGAAGCCTTAATGTGGGCGTCAGATGATTTTCATAAAGGTGTCATTGTTTCAGATGTTCTGTGTCCAGCACTTTTTTCTTGTGATCTTGACAGGCAAGTTGTTTGTATAGGGGTGTGCTGTATGTTGTATCCTTTAAAGGAAACATCCATCCAATTACCTGTTCAAGGTGGATCTTGCTGACTGGTGATCCAACCATTAAAATTAAATCTGGCTATGCGTCTCGTTGAGCCACTTTTTCACAGCCAGAAATTGACACAAGGCTGTTTTTTATCATCTTGTCACTATAATCTTCTCACAGGAATAACATTACTGTATCAGCATTACTCTCCTTCATCTATTCTCAAGTTAGTGAACTACGGTTTTAATAAAATTAAGGTTTCCTTTGGTTGCTAAGGAAGATAAAATAGATTTTCTCTTGTTGGGGTGGATGTGTTCAGTTATTAAGATCATCACAGAGAGTTGATCCGGTTTGAAGTTATTTACAGAAAGAATACCTGCTGAATGAGACATCCCAGCTAGGGTGGTCAAGTGATGCAATTTATATGCGTGCTGGAATAAATATTTCCTTTTAGTAATAATGAAAAAATTGCACTCCACTCCAAATAAGTGGATGATGTTTTTTCTGCCCATCAAAAAGTGAGCAGACTGGATCTACCTGCAAATACCATCTGTTCTATGTACAGTAGGTTTACTTTGTCAAATAATCAATTATCCTAATACCTTACTTGGATTTCATTTTAATCTTGTAGGACACAACATTGTTAAACCTAGTTGCTGATATCTGGTCTGTAGTTTTGACTGCAAAAATCAATAGTTTACATGACTGGAATTCATTTTACGCTCGCCGATTTTGATAAAGAGGCCTGGTTAATTGAAAGAATTGACTGTGGAAAAACATTTCTGACACTTTGAGGTGCTGACCATAATAGTTGGCCCTTTTCATTCCATCCTCTCTTCAATATTCTCGACTTGAATAGGGGTCTCCCTCAGCCTTCTCCTCTGCTTGGTCCGATTCCTTCAGGCTCTCAGGCTGTCCTGATCTTCCTGTAGCCACAGAAAAGCAAAGGGTTCCAGACCACCTGCTGTTGTATTGAGAAGTTTTCTTGTCCTGACTTTTACTTCATGGTGTCTCAGCCCCTCAGTGTCATGTGACCTTAATGTTGTTTAGGAATGTAAACAGAAAAGACTCTGTTGACTGGCTGGAGATAAAGGACAACACCTCTCCAGTTGCTGATCTCTGGCTGATACTGGAGTGAGAATGCAACCAGTTTTCTGTGCACTTGACTTTCCCCCTCCAAGTAGTGCATTTGTGTTAATTATGTGGAAGGTACTCTTTTTGTGAGTGATACAAGGGCACCATGGTATCTTGTTAATTATGACCCCCTTGTTGCAGTGCTTTTTCTACAAGGGTGGAGAGAGATTAGGAATGCAGTATTTTGTATTTGGTTTTTCAGAAAGCAGAAGCGGTAAATAAGAAAGATGACCTGAGCTGGTAGGAACGCCACTGCAATCTGCAGCTCTTCAGTTGCCTTCACTTGAAATGTATTTTCCTTCTTTCAGATCCTAAAACTCCATTAAAGGTGATGCATGGCACGCCGGAGTTCGTGGCTCCAGAGGTGATCAGCTTTGAGCCAGTGGCTCTGGCAACAGACATGTGGAGCATCGGGGTCATCTGCTACATCCTGTAGGTCTTGCAGGCCTTAGCTCTGCAACATATTCTTGCTCCTACAATGTGATAGCTTGGCTGGTTCCTAATCGGGGTGCTGGCGGCCCACACACCTGTTTATTAAGCTGTTACTCAATTGAACCTTTCTTCCACTTAATAGAATTTCTTTGAACTGTTTGGCCGTCAGTGCTGAAATATTTTGGAGGTTGCCTTTCATTTAAACTATTTCATTTAATTAGACCGTAAACGCCAAAATTTATAAGCAAACAAACCTGCAAATATTCCAATAAGGCAACTTGTTAGCTTATCTAAAGCTTCGGTTGGGTAGTTAAGCTTAGCTGGCATGAAAACCATCAGGTGTGTGAGCTACAAGGACCAGGACTGGGAACCTCTGCTTTAAAGTCAGTTTTTAAAACATCGGAACATTACATAATCCCGTAGTTCTCTAACTGTGACTTAGCTATTGCTTTTTCTTTTCACTCTTCACCATCCTGAAAAGACTGATTTAAGTGGGAGGCTTGCTAGACTCATTTTCAAGGCGCTCATGTAAGCAGTTCATTGCAAGGTCTCTACCATCATACAATGTCACTCACAGCTGTTGGAGAAACATTTATGAATGGGCAGCAGCTTTTTTGGAATGTGGCTGATGCAAGTGCTTCTGGCACAAGAAGGTGTGGAGGAGCTGTGTGAGAGTGTGTGGTGGACTTGGTTTCCCAGTTTAAAAACCTACCAATGCAAGGAGACTTATCAGAGCTATTACTTGCACAGAGCAATGATGCTAGAGCCCTGATTTTTATCTTTATTAATTGTTGCTAGATAGACTGGATACTAAGTGCATTCTCATTTGTGAATCTGAACACTATTACACAGTACTGGAGGCCAGGTAGATGTCTGAAATGCAGCTTCTGCTAACTTGAGTAGGTGTGGTCTTCCACAACTTTGCCCATCAGCATTGGAAGGCATGTGTAAATTACTCACCTATAATCATTACATATTATTATAAACTGGAGCATAATAGCAGTATTAAAAGATAGATTGATATTTACACACCAATCCAAAGGCCGATTTCGGCTGTGAACTTTTTCATATAAATCACTAGATTTATAATTAGTCCTTTCCAGTCAGCCTCATCACCAGATTGCTGCGATGAGGCTAGACTGAGCAATTTAATAATTCAGTTATCAGCTCCAAATAGGTGTGCAGACTGTGTAGTGCAGACATTAAAGATGGACAAGTCTGGCCTGCTTTCCTAGGCTCCCATCTTCTGGCCATTCTCTGCAAGTGCACTTTTCTAGTCCAGTCCCCAGTTCCATTGCTGGGGGCTGTGGCCTGTATCTGGTGGCTCAACTGTGTACTGAAGTTAGTGATAGTGGTCTGGCTTTCATTCTTTTTTCCAGACTGTCTGCACAGATTCTATATTTAGCTCTTGGTTTTACCTGGAGCTCATGCAGTTGACAGGCAGAGATATGCCCTGAGAGCATGTAAAGAGCACGTTTGGAGCATGTAAAGAGTGAATGTACTATACTTAACGCTTTTTCTCTTTCCCCTCTCTCCTCCCTCTGCACAGACTGAGTGGTGAGTCTCCATTCCAGGGGAACACTGATGCAGAAACACTGGCCCTGGTGACGGCAGCAGCGTGGGAGTTTGATGAGGAGAGTTTTGATGAAATCACAGACCTGGCCAAAGATTTCATCAGCAGGCTTCTCAAGAAAGACATGAGGTTAGCCCACAAGCACTTCTGCTCCTTACCACACCAGCTCAGCATCCTTTTTCCTATTACAGAAAGGAGAAACGTTGATGTAGCTCCTGAAATGTCCTGCACATTCTTTTCCAGATCCAGTTCAGTATTATCAAGAGCTTTGTAAATGCTCACGATGATGGGGATAGATGAGCATCCCAAAATTATCTGATCAAAATCGATACTGAGACCCAACCATCACTTGCAAATTTAATACCTATTGCTTAATGGCTTTATAGTCAAAGGAAGATGGTCATTGATTCAAGTAGTTCTGAAATTATTGGTAGGTTTCTTTGTTTCCAATTGACTAATATACAAAACAGCAGTTTCCCTAAATTATCCTGTAGTTCCTGAGGCCAGGAGTTACTGTGCTGCTGAGGAAGAATTCAATTCTAATTCAACCATTAAAAAGTCATTAAAATCCTTCACTATTTTGGTTTGACCTGAAATTCCAATGAAAACTCTGTATACAGCTGTGTATCCCAAGGATTCTATTGATGAATGTCAATAGACTAGAAGTTAAACGGGTATTCTAATATTTGAAGTACTCGTGGAAGTAGAAGACATTACTATATTAGGGGATATATGGATAAAAAAACTGTTAATTAGTTTTAAAGGCAGATGGTGGAGAAAAGCACCATGTAATGAAAAGCCATGCAGGCTCCTCTGATGGAGAGGAAAATAATTGTTCTCAGACTGGACGAAGATAACCGTGACATGCAAAAGGGGTCATTTTCAATTGATTTAAGAACCAATCCTACGATTATAAGTAGGGTGACCAATCCGAATGCGAAATGGCAGAAAATATCGCTGAAACCTTATTCTAGCACTGAAGCTCTCTTTGAAGTTCCCAGAAAGGGAGATCCTTACAGCCACTGCTCTACACCCTCCCGTCCCACAGGCGCCGGATGTCCTGTGAACAGGCTCTGGCCCACCCTTGGATGGCCGCGTTCACTTCAGTAGACCCCCGCTCCACCAAGAGCCTCTCCAAGGAGAAGATGAAGAAGTTCCTGGCCAAGCAGAAGTGGAAGGTACTGTATCTGGTGGTGCGGGTGGTGGGAAGGATTTCTCACTGGCCCCTCTCAGTCTGTGACTCAGCGGGCAGTGCTTAGACACACTCACCAGAGATCGTCTTCTCTGTTACCTTGAATGTCCTGTATTTCCACTATTTCTTGTATTTGACTTATTTTTTTAATATCCTGAATTTACTTCATCACCTGTTAATACATGTTTCTAGTGCACAGATTCTTTATATGACACTGGGAAACTGGTCAGCTGTTCAGACCAAACCTGTGTCTGATATAGAAAAAGTATTGTTCAATTAATTTGTGATCACTTAAAAGATTTGTTCCTATTTGCTGAGTATTTTTCATTGAAACCATTTGTTTGTAGTTCAGTTCCATCTTTAGGTTCCATTCATTTTCTGAATGGGTTTGTTTTCTCTTGGAATATGTTTTTAGTGGCTGGTGGCTTACAAAGTTTTTTTTTGTTCACTGTTGCTTTTTTTAGTTTTAATTTCAAGCTGAGCTCTGCCACTTAATTGAAATCTTATCATGTCTAAGTGATGGTGCATGACTTTTTACAGCCCTGATATTACAGGTTTGAGCCTGTGCCATATCACAAGAGTATGACCAGGAATCCCCAAGCAGTACAGCACAACTTGCATTGCACTGCCTGAGTAGGGTGTGTGCCAATCACATGCCTTCTCAGTTTAGGGGAATATAGCAATCCTGGGGAGGTTTCCGCTATGTGACCTTTTTAGTGTTTTCTGTGTCATCTTTCCCACAGTCAGTGGTCTTCTAAGGCACCATCTATTGAGTTACAAAGATGAATTGCCATCGTTGCGGAGGATCTATAGGTCTGGATTCTGCACCCGTGGCACCTGTGATATGGTTGTAGCTGTGCGTCGGTGATGTGCGGCCTTTGCTCTGAGCCAGGGTTTGATTGCTGTCTCTTGGGCATACTTCCCAAAAGGCTACCCCCCACACCCTGTTGGAGAGTTAAATCCTAGTGAGTGTAACAGGCTCATGTACTGTAACTCTTAAATGCTGGGTGAGGAAGCCTGTTTCACGCATCTCTTCTGGTCTCTCAGAAAACAGGAAAGGCTCTGTTGGCCCTGAAGAGGATGACGCATCTCTCCAGCAAGGCAGACAGCCCCGAGTCCCCCAGCAGTCCTCCTGACCGAGAAAGTAAGGACAGGCTTTGCAGAAACTCTCCGTTTTCACCTTCACGCACACATGGTCGTATTCTTATATTATTAGGGGGAAGCCAATTGATTCCTAAACTATTTTTGTTTGCTGTTTCAAGCTCCATCCAAATAACACGCTTCTTCAAAAAGCTCAATTTAGAATTAATTTTCAGCCCCTTGAATGAAGATAACACTATGAATGAAGCCTACAGTTTCTACATACTGGTTTTGTTTGGTAGCAGTTTGACATAAGTAAATTCAGAATATGCTTTAAGAATTATTGTTGCAAAACGTTTCAGTCCCCCCTTGTCATTGTTAGAAGTGCAATGAATTTTACCGTGTTCCCCTGCTCTTCCAGAAGTGGCCCTGAGCCCAGAGGAGGAGCTGGCCCTGCTGTCCTTGAAAGAGAACTTGCGCTGTGAGCCCCAGTTTGCCACTCCACTGAGGGATGTCGCTGAGCCTCGGGGTTCGACAGCCCATCTGAGCTGCAATATCATAGGTAGTACTGCTGTCTGCCTTGTCCACGCCCGTCCATCATGGCTTCAAAGCTGCACAGGGCAAAGCTGCAACCATTGGTTAGAATGTGCTGAGCTTCTGCCATTTCCCACAATTTGACTTTTTTTAAAACTAAATAGGTCGTAGTAGAATTTGCCATCTCTAAAAAGGAATAACTCTCAGCCTAATTGTTTAAGCGGTTCTTTAGTTAGTAAGAAAAATTGTGCAAACTAATTGGGACTTGTTAAATTGTGATGCTTTGTCTTATGAAAGTGGAAGAAAATACTGCTCCGTATTAAAGCTATGGGATTCCCTCCTGCCTTGAGATAAAACATTTTGCAAGAGATGTAAATTCTGAATTCCACGTGTGGAAAGCAGTAGAAAATGTTTCGACTGAAGTCTGTTTTTGCTGCGTCTTTGATTTAGGTTGCAGAGACTGAAACATCTTATAAACCATTCAAAATAAAGACTGTGAATGCAGTGTTCTACAAGAGTGACATACTGTGTAGGCAGAACCTGACACTTTTATTCAGACGTTGAAACAGTTTTGCCAAGTGAGACCCATGGCAGGCTCTTTTTGGCTGGACTGGAGCTGAGGATTTGCTGCCCTGTTGGCTACTCTCTAACGCATTTCCGCCTTCCTCATAGGGTATCCTGACCCAGAAGTGTTGTGGCATCATGACGAGGATCCAATTAAAGAAACATTGCGTGTCCAGATTAATTACACGGAGAACGGACAGTGCTCCCTTATCATATCTAATGTCCAGCCAGAGGACTCGGGGGTTTATTCCTGCAAAGCTACTAACAGCCTGGGGACAGCACAGTCTTCAGCAACACTGACCATCTCCTAGAGGGGCTTCAGGAGGGGCAGATGGGAGAGAGTCCAGGCTGTTGAAGGGAAGGACACTTCAAGAGGGGCCAGAGTGCAGTGAACAAGCACCCACTCGACCATATTTTAGAAGTAAGCAGTGAGGCTCCAAGCACTATAGTGCTGTTGTAGCCCACTCTACAGCTCTTGAAATACTGCGCCCTGGTACTTTCTTGACTTTCTTTCCATGGTTAATGTTCAGATAACGTCTCTTGCTAGTTAAAGGTTGAGATTCATCCTGCAGTGTTTTCCTGAACGTCTCTCCTGTTCTACGTTTTTTGGCTTGGGGAGTGCACGTGGTCATTTACTTTTGACCTCTTTCACAAGAACGTAAAAAACAAAGACTTTGACTTTTCTGTTCCCTGTGGGTGCCTACTCATGGTTATATTAAGGGAAGTCTGGCTTAATACTGAGCTCAATACCCTCTACCCCACAGCCATCACCTCCCTCTCAAAACTTGGACACTTTAACTAAAGCTGTACTCAAAGCTTCGCTGCAATGCATTTTTAGTAACCAGTAGTACCAATATATACATAGCACATGGCCACAATTCTTAAGACACAAACCAAAGAGTTCTTTAAAGACAAGGGCATTTTAAAAAGTTTGTTGTGTTTTATTGGATTAAATTTCATAAAGAAACATGGCTGACAGAATATGGAGGTTTCCCAAAGACCAGGAACACTTTCCAAAGTGTGGTCTTGGCAATACTGCATGAAAAGCTTTCTTATTGTGCATTTAAATGTAACATCCCACTTGGATACTGCTTGACCCTGAACGGTTGTATGATATTGTACCTTTAAGCTTTGTTTACAAATAGCAAAACAAATGTACTATGCATCCTTAGCTGATGGAATATTTTACACTGGTGGTAATTGTTCAGAATATTTAGATGTCCAATAAAAATATTCTGAAATGAAATTTGTAACAATTGGGTCCTATTTACAAAATGCATTCTCAGCCAAATTTTAAAATGCTATGGAATCATGAATTACTTTACCTTGCTAACTTATGTATTCTCCAGTACACCTGTTAATCTCACAAAATGTATTCCTTGTTTCCACTGGTTAATAGATAGCATTTAAAATCGAAACAAAAACTTAATACAAACCCCCCCACATCCTTTTCAGTACCTGGTTAGGGGTGGTGATGTGTCAAGCCCTTCCCTTATACCAAGACTACTAGTGGATTTATTGCTGTCCTGTAAATAAAGCCCCTGGTTTAAGGTGAGGTTTCGCAATCTCTTTCTTGTTCTAGGGTGTTCAAGCAGTAACCCAAACTCAGGTCTTATTACACTGGTAACATCATGTCGACCCTCTGCTAGTCCACCTTACTTAACTGTACCTTCCGGTTCCAAGATTTATCTTTCTCATTACTTTGACTTCAGTCAGTTTGGGTTTTAATGTTCGAGTCCCTTAATCTGCCTGGGCATTGTCATTGCTGGTGCATCCTCACCCTACGTGTTTTAAGGTGGCTGGAAGCACAGCCGCACCTGGAGGGAGACCAGGACTGCCTGCTCCTACTGGCAACCCCGGTGGCTTTGGGGGAGCATCACGTGGGGCTCAGTGAGTGAGCTGAGGACGCAGAGCCGCGGATATGCCAGCCATTACAGGCCGCAGCTGAAATCGGTTTCCTTCCCGGCGGCGTTCTGGGAGCTGTGCCAGGCTGATGCCCACATGGTACCGTTTCACCACCCAAGGCAGGAGCCCATGGGCCCATGCAGCCTTGCGGAGCGGAGAGTGAGGAATGCCACTAGATATCTCGGAGACCCCTTTGAGATTTTGCCATTGGATTTGCGGGCTACCTTGGTGAGGGCACCACTGTTCAGGAGGAAGATGGCTTTATTCAAACCCTTGAAAATTCATGGAAAATGTGAATTAACTTTAGCTTAGGAGGGTAATCATAAATGGGGAAATTTTAAGCTAGTACAAAACAATTTAAGAAAAAAGCAATTGATTTATGAGGAAATATTAATTAACCACTAGAGGGCAGTATGATGCAGCTTAGAATAAAGTTGAATAGAAATGGCAATTCTATTTTCGTGAGGCCATCTATTCTGACGTTTAATTTCATTAACTCAATTTAAATAAGGTTAATTTCTATTGCTATTAAACAAATTGGTTTTCATATTTGAGTTTGTTGTGATCTTTTCTGCCCAGAAATTGCTTAAATTTTAACAGTGATTGTTTAAAACTTTGACAAAGTATGTAACTGTATCTCTAACACAATGACCTTTTAAAAATATACTTATTCCACAGGATACTCAAAAATGTGCTTATACAGTATTGTGTATTTGAAAGATGTCATTTTAACTGCTTGTGGGATGTGTTTCTAGAAGTTGGCTTCTGTTTTAATATTTCTAAACGGCACGATGAAATATCCCCTTGGTGAAAACTGGTCATTTTGTCATCCCGCAGGAGATTAATCATTTTAACTCAATCGAGCAAGTCAGCAGTACTCTTAGACTACTAGAATTAGTGTTACAGTTTAACAAGACATTAAATATGAACATCATTAAAGTAGCAAAACGTCTGAAATAAGCTTCTCGGAAATGGAGTGTGAGGCTGTGGTTCTGCTGGTTTAGTGAAGGGCTGTTGTTTACTTGATGAAGAAGGAAAAAAGGGAAATTTTATTTTTGCAGTCTGTTACAGTGCTGTTGTTGCACTCAAACTCTTCAGAGCCACCAGGCTGCTGGTTTTCTGAGTTCTGAGTTCATCACATAATTTAGTAGACAATTCACATGATGAAAGTGAATTGTTAAAGGTGGTGGGTGGATACTCTTTTTGTATTTTGGGATAAAACCATATAAAGATGTGCAGTATGAGAAATATGAAGTGCACCACATTGTGGCCGAGGGAGATTAGACCAGTGAAACGCTGCTTGGAAGTTGAACATACAACTCTTGTGAACTGTTGATGATCCTTTAAAAAAGGGAGTGGGCTTTGACACAGGACAGAAAATCCAGGGGTAGCTAGAAATAAACCTATTATTTCAGCATCCAAAAAAGGAAGATGTGGGCACATGTTCTCATCATGTTTTTCAATATGTAAATCTACAACATGTACGTGCCCCATTTAAAAGTGAAGTGTTTAACAGTTAAAGCAAATTGTTTCTTGTACAGTAATAACATTTTGTATGTCTGAATCCTGAGCATACTTGGCTTGGGGAAGGAAATTGCCTCTAGTTTCTCAAAGTCTTGTAAAAATCTCAACATAATGATCCAGCATGATATAACATTGATTTATATTTAAAAAAAACTGAATATTTAGAGGAATATGTAAAAGGAACATTTTAAATCATGGATACAGCCAAGTGGCTGATTCAGAACAAGCACAGCTCAGAAGTCAACTCTTTCTCATGTGAACTTAATTTATCCTTTTTATTTAGAGATGTATATATTGAGGTTGAAGAAAATTGCTGTGGGTGCCATTTAATTTAAAATATGGTTTTATATGGTTAATTTCTTCCTAGTTCATTCAAGCAGATATCAGTTGCCATCAGAGGTTAATATCAAGACCAATTTCTTTTGCATACCTTAGTGGGTGTAAGGCAGGGGGTATCAACATACAGCTCATGATTTATTTAAATCCGCCTTCCAGGGAAATCTCATTACTATGATTCCTTCAGGTCCTTTAAGTACAGTCAGGACGAAAAGCACACAGAGCTCTTATTGTCAAAGAAGCCAGTTTTAAAAACTAGAACAATGTTTACTGTATAAAGCATCTTTTAGGTCATTAATCTTGAAGCACAAAAATAAATATTAAAATATTACTCTAGATTGCTCAGTCTTGTTAGAGCAGCAGTCTCTGTGCTTTACACTTTTTATCTTTTTTTGTCTTGGTTCAGAATTCTCTGCAGTTCAACACCGAGATGCCCTGTCCTCAAGCACACCAGTTATCTAGCATCAACAGGTACAAGCAGCTAAATTTGTGCTTAACGAACAGAGGAGCTAGTCTACGTACTGCATAATAAATCTAAAATTGGATCCTGAGAGACTGACCTTTCATTTTCTGGAAAGTTGCTGCAAAAGTTTCAAAATGTGACCACCGGACACTCATACCACAGTGTTGATAACATTATCATTCAGCTGTTCTTTCTAGCTTGCTAAATGCCTGTTCCCCTGTTGTGTGTGATTTTCATATGCAGTCTGTAAAGCACAATTATGCAAAACTCAGAGTTCTGATAGTTGCCCACAAAGTAAACCCCTTTTTGATGGTTTGTGGGCAATAATTGTCATACATCTCAACAATTTTATTATGGTCTACATGTCTTTAAGATAGCACCACTGTGTAAAGGTCTCTTGCTCTTATTTTGTGCTATTGCAGTATTTCAGGGTGTGACAGGTGGTGGCTGTGCTCTTTGCTAGTTCTGCAAGTCAACACGAAAGCATTGTCTGCTATTTATAGTGCCCTTCTGCTTCTCACCAGCAGAGTATCTCTGCTTCTTTTTAAACCATTCTTTTAAATGAGCCTATTTAGCTTCAGAGGGCTACACCTTCAGCATGTCTCTTATTTTAGCACCTGAAATGAAAGCTTTCAGCTAAACCACTGCATTCAGATCACCTACACGGGGACAGCAGAAAAGCTTCTTGCTTTGTCTTGTTAAAGGTGACAAGGCAGAATTGTTAAATTTCGAATGTACAGTACCTGTTGTATACAAATGGTTGTTCTCTATGAAATCCTAAAACTTGAATAAATGATTGATGTACATCCCTTGCCTTTATGTGATTAGCACTAACAGAATATAATTTATCAGGGGCCCGCTCCCTCCTCATAATCCAAATGAATCCTATATTTATGTTATCCATCTTACCAGGAGTAGCAGAGAATGTAAAGAATTGGGATTATTTGCTATTTATATCACATTAAAGTGCACAGAGTCTTTGTATTGTATTAATTAACTATTGGCTGTGATATGCATTCAGGTCATGCCTCTTGTATAACTGCAAAACACCTCTTACTCTTTTCAAGAAGCACGTGTATTCAATTTAAACATTTGTTTTGTGTAAGAATGCTATTTGTCAGTTATTAGATATTATCAGGAGTTTCAAGGACTGTACAAATTTTAAACTATTTGCCCATAGTCCTTTTTCCTAGTTGTTGCTAGTTCAAGCACCACAGTACTGAGAATGTCAGTGTCTTAAGATTAAATGAAGGTGGAATTTATAATTGATTCAGAGCTTCTTAAGAAAGGGACTTTAAGAAAATAAAACTGTTGCAACAAAGTTTACAATTCTTACAAACAATACAATTCTAACATAAAATTGTCCATTATCAATCATTTTATTTTGGAAAATGGTCGTTTAGGCTAGATTTGAAACCAGGATTGTCTGCTTTTGCTTTCATTTTAACTGAACTGTAAGCCATAGTCAAGTAATGGTGCCTTTACTTTAACTGATGGTTTTCTTAATTTGATCTGTTTTTTTCGCACTTAAATATTTAGAGTGCTCAGGGTGCTTATAAAATACTTTACTTGAATTATACTAATGTTCTAGGAGAGGTAAACAATTAAAATGTGCTCATTATACAAATCTTTGTTTTGCCTAAGTGTTAAATTAAGTCTCAAGGATTCCTGCTGGGAAGCCTGGTTCTAAGATTAACGAAGATGAAGCTGGAAATCCTGGTTTTAGTGCTAAAGGAATCAACCAGCATGTTGTAATCAAAACTGTTCTTAAAATGCAATGTATTGAACATTAATGTAGTTTTATATATTTATACAGATCGGTTGAGTAATGATTCCCAACAATTTAGAACTGCAAAACAGCATTTCTCATAAGAACCTGTAGCCTAATAGCAGACTATATGCAGTATATTCTAGACTGCAGTTGAAGAATGTGGTGACATGGATGACTGTGGGATACAGTAGTCAGAGGACAACAATCTTTTAGAAATGCTCTAAATGTTAACAAAGACATCGAAATAATGCTTCCAATATGACATGGAAATATTTAAGGTGATTGCTGCATGCACTTTCAAGATTGTTTCAAAAGCATTTTTGTTCTGGAATACTTTAAGAAAGCTTGTTAAAATTCGCCTGCATGGAGCTTTTGTTAGCTCTTTGTTGAAGCTCACTCTGCACATTTTCATATTAGAGGCTATTTGCATTTTGAGGATTTTGCCACTGCTTGGTTATTCAAATTGCTGGTACCTGTTGCATGACAGAGCAAGGCTTGTGGGGGATTTATCTGTTCTGGGCTCTTTTCAGAGGACCCTAGGAAACATGGCAGAGATACCATACAGGCTGTTCATTTTTTACCAGTTAACCCAAGGAAATGTAATGGCTGTAAAACATGATATGCAAGCTTAACATTGCCAGGGGCAAACAGTGGTGGCTGTTTCTGGTGTGTTATGACTGTGTTCAGTACATAGGTGTGCATGGAGGAGCATGTCATGGCTGAGGAATAGCAAACCTGCTGCTTGTGTTGGTATAAATTGTCATAATGTCCTGCCTCATTAACATTCCATTGTTTTGCATTTCTTTGTCTCAACTGGTAAAGGCAAAGCTCTACAGTACATCTGCAGGAATACAGTTGCTGTTGCCTGTGTACTTGCAGTTTTCAAATTATGCTGGATGTGTCAATGCCAGTCAAAGGCATTTTGTGGGGGTGTTGGTTCTAAGTGTGGTCAGCGTGGGGTTCAGTGGTCAGCCTTGCTGCCTCACAGCACTGGAGCCTTGAGTTTAAACCCAGACCTGGGGTGCTATCTGAGTAATGTTCTCCCCATGTTCGTGTGGGTTTCGTCTGGGTCCTCTGGTTTGCTCCCACAGTCCAAAAACATACTGGCAGGTTAACTGGCTTTTGGGACAGCTGGCCCTGGTGCGAGTGTCTGTGTGTGCCCTGCAATGGGAGTACCCTGCCTTGTGCCTGTTGAGTGCTGAGAGACTCCCCCACACGAACCTAACTTAGCAGAATAGGTTGGAAGGCACATAGATGGTTGGTTTCTGAAGCTGTATAACCTTTTCCAGCTCAGACACAAATGTTATTTTTTTACCAGTTATTTAAACCCTGGATGGAGTTAAAGAGTAGTGCATGTACTGTAGGTGACACAAAAGTCAGAAAACCCAGTGGCAGGATATCTAGCTTGAAGCTTCTGGCTGGATTCTCTTTAGAGGTTCCCTAGTGTTGTCATTCTGTGTGCAGTTGACAATGTACGTACTGAATGCACTAAAAGATTTTCTCATGATATCCACCAAGAAAACCTCTGGAAAGAGAAGTCAACATCTTAAGAGAACCTGAGAAGTGTTAAATAAATATCCTTTAGTTTTGGGATATTTACAGTATTTATATTCTTATTTAATATATTGTTTTCCTTTCAGATTCATGAGCAGCAGCCCAGTAGCCCATGCCAATTAGTGAAGTTATGTCATGTTTAGTCCTTAGAATACAGATTCTCAACATTCTAAATGTCAGAGGCTGTGGAAAATTAACTGCTGTTCAGATTGTGTGTGAAAGTACCTTTTTCAATAATATTTGCATGTGACGTTCGTGGTTTACAATATAATATCATTACAGTATTTCTCTACTAACAGTTGTTGAGGGCCTGTTATGCACAGCACAATTTCCAGGTGGAGACCCCTAAGCATTAAATGTGCCCCTATAGTGGACAATGATCGCCTTTATTTGTGATCCCCATTATTGCATATTTTATCATCTGAATCGGGGTTTTTCTTCTACTTATTTCACTGAGTTGCCATGTAAATCTCTTGTGAGATGAGGAAACCGATAAGGATGTTTTTTTTAGGCTACATACTCATCTATAGTGACACCAGGGGCCTGAAATCTCCAGCTTGTTACTGTTTTGAGTAAATTTGCATAAAGAGTTCACAAAGGTAAAATTAGCTCAAATGTAAAAGGACAGTGTCATCCGTAGAAAAGCTTGCACCCTGAAATAAATCAAACTGCTATTCCAGATTCTGTGCAAGCTTCCTCACAGAACTGCAAGTTTCAATACTGTGCTGCAGAGCAGGTAAATTTAAATGTGACACAACGATGTCCCAGTGGGGATGTCAGTCACTACTTTGTTCTTCCTTCAGTCTGGCAAAGTTGCCCTTGCATTCTTTTGTTTAAATAATACCGGTAAAAAAAACAGCTTTCCCATTTCCAGTTTTTACAGCCCAAAAGGAGACGTATTGAAGTGTCCTGGGGAGGGAGAGAATCAGGCACTAGGACCTAGCAGCCACCTGCTCACCTAGAGCCCTAGTGTCCCTAGGAGAGCTGCAGTGTGCGGCTGCTGCTATTTGCACACACCACACAGTTCCTATTTCAAGTAGGTGGCTGTGCATCCCTGCTTTATCTCTCCACCTCCTTTTCCAGTCTCTTCCCGTTCGGCATGGCTTCTACATCCCGGCTTGCCTCCTGTGCTGTGTGTGGATCTGTGACAGCCAGAGTGCCCAGTCCCCATGCAGGTCTCTGGCTGTGCATGTGCTGGGGCTCAGCAGAGACGAGCTTTGCTCTGTGCATCTGAGTCTGTCATATATACAGGAAGCTCTGTTTGTGTCTGTGGTTTCTTTTGGTACTGCTGTGAAACTCCTCACTGAACAGACTGACTTCCTTCCCTCACTGAGGTGGCAGCAACTGACTTTTGAAAGCCAGAGCCTGTTGTAGTTGTGCTTTTCTTTTTGGCGCGGGTGACCCCAAGAAGAGTGAGTGATCGAGGACGGCGCACAAGATGTTCCTCAGGAGAGGGCCAGTACACGAAACGTCAAGGGAATTGTGAGGCATCAAACCTGGTGGTCATGTAGAGTCCGAATTTCTCTGAAGCCACGTTGAAGCCTGTGGATCTAACCCTTTGGGGTGCTCTTGTTTTCCTTCCTTTGCTTGTTATGGTGTTTTCCAACTTTGAGGCCACTTTCCTGTTTCAAACTAAAGAGGACCACCTTGTCGGTTCGTGAACGCTGGAGTTTGGAGGCCTGAAGAGACTTGCAATGGGCAACGCAGCCGGGGGAATGGACCTGCCTCTGCAGGGCAGGGAGGTGAAGAGCTCCTTGTCCGCCCCTGCTTCTGCTCCCACACAGAAGCAGCCGCCACAGCCCAAGCTTCCCATGCCAGCTGAGGAAGAGCTGGAGGAGCGCTTTAATGTGGTTCTGGTGAGTGCTGGCACCTCGAGATGAGACTCACACGGGGGGTTGCGTTTCCATGTTTGCAGGAAAAACAAGAGTGATTTTTCTGGTAATGGTCCAAACCGGGGCCAACTTTTGGCTCTAAACAAAAATAAGCCTTGAAAATTACACTATTACCAGACTTTAGCATGATAATAGTAATAATACTCATGATAGTACAGATCACATAGTATCACTTTACAAGGCTATCAAAATGCATTCAAGTTATTGCATGGTCACAGTCGGTAAGTCCTTTCAAAGCTTTCCACCTCAGTACAAAATTTACTGCACTTTCCCCAATGTTCATCTCTTTCTTCACCTGCTAGACTTGCATAATTAAAACGTTTAGTTTCAGAGAGTCAGGATAACACATTTTTGGGGGCACAGAAAGTCATCCCCAGAAGGGTGTTGAAGAACACTAAAGTTGGTGAAGAATCAGAATTTGGACCGATTCGTGGTGAGGAGTGGTGACAAAGTTATAATGTGTCACAGAAATCCCAGAATGACGTGCAAAAGTATTATTCATGAGAAGATGTGCAAAAGTCCAGGGTTTATCCGGCTTACAGTCATTAAAAAAACCCAAGTATCTTGTGAAAACATGTGAAAAATGTTTCCACCTTCTTCAGTGCCACACATCAAATTGAAAACATTTTAACCTTTTTCTTCAACTTTTGTCAACTTCTAGAAGAGAGTGTGAAATGCTGGGTACCACTGATGTGCTTGAAACTTTTCTAGTTAAACTGTACTGTATGCAGTTAAACGCCTGCATGGAAATAAGAGAGTTTATTTAAAGCAGGGGTTTTATGGTTTGTGTTTTTTCCGGGATGCACAGTTCAACTCCAAGAACTGGTTTCAGTTTCAGAAATTGGTTCCTGCAGTCAACAATGGAGATTTGCAACGGACATATTGCCCTTGTTGTTTTTATTGGGTTTTTTTTGTAAAATAAAAACTTAAAAAATGGGGTAAAGGTCAAGATAATTTTGGGGTTTTGTGCACCTGAGAGATTTTCATTCTTATTGGGCATATTGGGCAACAGAGGTTAGATTTGAGACAGACATCAAAATAACAGAGAAAGGTTCCTCTGTAGCTCACTGATATGACGTCTTCTATATACTGTACGTTAGAATTTTCTGTCAGCTTGGAAAAGGTTAAAAAACCAACCTTTCAGGCAGCATGAGCAGTAACGGAGGAGAACAGTGATGTATTCTGACTTCATACAGCAGAAAAGAGGTGTTGGGTTAGTCATTCTCTGACTTATCTCAACCTCCAGGATTTAATCTTTGCCGGTTTTAATTTTAGTTTTGACCTTTACCTGCTAATCAGAAAGCTTTTTACTAGTTGATAGCTGCTTTGACTCATCACCTTTGCTGCTTTTCTAAATTGCATTCTTTATTATTGCATTACGCTGCAAATATGAAATAGGTTCCCTTCACAATCTGGGTTTTCTATGCTAAAACCAGAAATGTATTGCACAGATATCTCTCATGTGATCAGAGAAGGTAGGACCATTTTGTAAAACAATTTGGAAACTATTGGATTGAGAAATATTAAACCCAGTATACCGTTCAGCTAACATAATGTAGTGCTACTGGGTGCTTTAATACAACCATACAATATTGTGATAATGATTCTGTCACTCGGACACTGTTTTTGTTGCGGTTATGCTGTGTCCTTCTACTATTTCTTCATCACTCTTTAAGCATGACTTCTGGTGCTCCTTCTGTTAAATCTGTTCAAGATTAAAAAACCCCACTCACATTAACGATGAGCTAATCTAATTACTATCTTTGGCAACAGCCGTTGCAATTTGAAACACATCAGTGGGTATATTGTAAACTTTCGGAATAGTTCCTCATTGACTGCTGTGAGAGGGAGGGGCCAGAGCACAGCAACAGCAGCAGATTCCTCATTTATGCTGAAAAGGGGAATCATCACTTTTTCTAGAGGCCTCTGTAATGCCTCAGCTGGAGTCATTCAAAATGTTGCAACATGCCTCTTCTTCTTATGAAGCTTCTTTGTAACTGCCATCTTGTCTGTGTTTATCATTTAGCCAATCAAAGCTGTCTGTGTCAGTGTATATCTTCTGCTTTCCTCTTTGGTGCTGCTTCATCGATGGGTCTCTGAGCTCTGAGCTTTGCTAATTTCACTAATTTCCTCCCCTTGTTTCCTAACATTCACCCAAGCAGCAATCCCATCATTTACAATGTACCCTCTGTTCCACTAGTCTTCTGATTCACGGTTCTCTGTGGATTCTCAAGACGTCCTTTGGATTGACTTTGTCAGTGCCTTTGAGGTGTGTTTGAATGTTTGCATCAGGTCCCCATTTCATCTTCACTGTTCAAGACTACAGAGTTTTGGATTTTTCAGTGTAGGACATGCACTCCTGGGGTTAAGGGGATCTGCTTACTTCTCCCTGGACTATTTACTGTATGCAGTGATCAAAATTGCACACGATATTTCAGATAAGGCCTTACTGGTGTGTTTTAGGATTCTAACATTCCTTTTTTTAAGTATCCCAACAATTTATTTGCCTTTTTCATTGCTGCCCCACGAGGAGGAGGGGGGCTCTTAAAAGGTCTTGAATCCCTGGGGCTTTCCTGCGTAGCGGTAGTGTGAGTGGCAGGGCGAGGGCAGCAGCTGTCTGCCAACAGGTGTGTTAACCAGCCTGTGGGGGGAGGCGCACCAGTTGGTGCCGCAGTGCTCAGAGACGAGGACATCGGTCCTTTTACTTTACTGATCCTCTGCCGCTCCCCCACCTCTCACTCACACCCTGCAGTGTCATTCGAGTATTTGAGCTGAACAGAGGACTCTAACCAGGTCCAGAAAATGGCTGAAAAAATTAGAAGTTCCATATTAAGAGACCAATAATAAAGATATTCTAATTAAGGATAATTAACACCTGGTGGGGCGCAGTGGTTAGCATTTCTGCCTGCCAGCACTGGGGCCCTGGGGTGCTATATGTGTGGAGTTTGCATGTTCTCCCCATGTTCACATGAGTTTCCTCTGGATTCTCCAGCTTCCTTCCACTGTCCAAAGACATACTGGTAGGTTAATTGGCCCTGGTGTGAGTGTGTGTAGTATTTGTGTACCCTGAGTTATGCCTGCTGCGGGTTTAATTTTGGCTCCAGCTCCCCTGTGACCCAGTACTGGATAAAGCATTTTACAAAATGGATAGATAAATGATTACCAGCTTTCCCTTTCTCTGTCAGTCTTCACATAAACGTATTCAATTGAGATGAGGTCAAGTGTGAAATTGGCTGTGCTACTTTTGTTAGTGTTTTTTTTATAAGATGTATTGGAACTGCTATGACTTTTCTCTGAGACGTGCAGACATACAGCAGGACACCCAGCTGTAGGGGGGTAGGGGCAGTATCTAAAGCTTTCACAGCCAAAATGACACCTGCACTACAAAAAAACAGGATCTGTAAAAGAAAGCGCACTCTGATTTGATTTGCATGAAAAAGCAGTACAAATTCAAAACAGACTAATTTCATCCAGATGGTTATCTCACTGAACCCCCTGGCATGTCCTTCGTTCCTAGTTTTTAAAACGTAAGTTTTTTGTCTTAAGCATTTACATTTTTAGATTGGTCTTTCCAGGTAAACTCACCTAATACTGTGATTTAAGTTCTGGGATCTGTACAAATGTGATACTGTGTTAATCTTAATTAGAATATCTTTTATTAATTGTGTTTCTCTTAATTTGGAACATACAAGCTTAAGGGCATACCCTGTTCATACTGTGTTAGCACCTTATTGATCACTGTCCTAAACTATCCTAGACAATCAGCTTCAACAGGATGGCTGTATTGTTTTCCAGACCTCCACAATCTTTTGTTTAAAGGTACTTTCTGATATCCAGTTTTAAATTCAGTTCCTCTTAGTTTCCATCTGTGACCTTTTTTCATCAGCTGTTCTGCTGATTGAAGACCTAAGACCTTCTTACTTCGCAGTATACATTTGCAATGAAATGTGGTCTGTTCCCGAAAATAACTGCTTTCAAAGAAAAAGAAAACTAGAATGGATTTGTATGCAGGCTTAGCTGTGCAGTTGCAGATTTACTGGTGTTTTACTCTACGAATGAAACAGTCATTCACAAATGTACAGTACTAGATGTAAAAAAAAAAATATTTTCCTTAACTTATTTTCTGGTGATCCCTCCTATATATTTATTAATTCGAGGTCCTTCTGTAAGTCTATGTGTGTTTACATACAGTAATATCAGCATTTTATAACATCTCTCCTGTCAAACCTAATGAAGGTGAACTAGTCCTTCAGGATGTTAGCACGTTTCTTGATCTCCCTGTCTTATGTATTTCTGAGTAAGTGACCTGTGCAGTACAGGCTTGTAAAATAATTGAGGTTTTATCACCTTGAATTGGGGCGCTGCAGTTCAGCAGTGTGTGTGCTAGGTGCACTTAGCCATATCATTACTGCAGTTATTTTTATATCAAGACACTTGATATTCATGAAAACATTCCATAAATCGTGCATTTGTGGATAATTAAGCTAGTAGAAACCAGTTAAGTAAGATGAACCAGATGGCCTAATTTACCTTGCAAACAAAAATCTCTCAATTTGTGCACCCACTGTTGGTTGGAATTCACAGAACTTGATAAAAAAAGCTATAGAAATATGATTTTATATATATTTTTTAAAATAAATATTTTAATATATTTTTTTGCTTAGCTTTTTCCTGAATCTGGTGTTTGAAAAGGAAACAGTTTTGGTATTATGTATTTTCTTGCTTCTGAAAGGGGGACGTCACTCATCACCTGCTGTAAAGGTGCTTTGGATTTCTCCCACATGTTCCCAGGGCAGGTATTGAAGAGATGGTAATCATTGAGATGTGCAAAATATCTTCCTGTTTAAACATATTTCAACATCACCAAATGTAAAAAAATATATAGTATTGTGTTACCAGGACCATAACATTTAATATTACAGACCTCTCACAGACGATACATTTTCAGCTCTTATTGGCCCTGA